ACATGGAACAACATGTTCCATGATAGGTGGGAGGTAAGACTGGCAAAAAAGGCCGAAATCAAGGTGTCAAAAGCTCACAAGGCCCATGGCAAAGGCAAGATGTTGAGAATTGGCCATTTGGGTCATGACATGACCTGAAAAACGAGGTCATATCTCCGAAACCAAAAGTCACAGAAACTTGAAATTTTCAGTGGACATCAAGAAAGGATAGAGGAGCAGATATACCAAAAATCAGCCTTCTAACTCTAACAACACGTTGAGTTCAGAGCAGAAAGACTACCTGGGGGGGGGTGGCAACCCCCCCCCCCCATGTGCGGGCGAGGGTTAACAGTTTGGAATGGACAAAAACTGACTTTTGATGACCTCTGGTGACCTGACCTTTGACCTGAGCTAAAATGGCATACGTGTTTCCGTCATCATTTTTGACGTTCTTTCGATTGCTGCTTACCCCGTGTATTTTGCTAATTGAGCTATTTTCGCAGATTCTCAGCAAAAAATCAGAATAAAAATAACACAACCCCGCACTCGTTTCAAGCAAGTGGCAACTATAAGCTGGCCACCCTTCCCGCTCCTCTCATCACGTGTCACTGTCACCGAAGCTGCTCATATCCATATGACCGGCGCAGTTCAAGGATTTTAGTGCTCTTCTGAGGAGGAACTGTTATCATTAAATGTCAACGGGATGAAATGGTAATTGACCATCCAGTCGTGGAACTGTACGTGCTCCATGACATCGACAGAGCCATTTGGTCGCGGACGCTGCCCTTACTTAGACGCCACGATCTGATGGCAGTCAGCTGCTATGTCGCCGCCGCGGGCCACCAAGGTCACGGTTGCAAAATCTAGTATATGCAGTCGCTCTCTTCCTGATGTTAATATGCGGCCATTGGGACCTGACGGTGAAGTTCAAGTACGAGCATTAGGCGCTCAGACGAGACTGTGAGGGGAGGCCAGGACGAGGAGGCATTCCGCACAGCGCGGCACAAACACGCTTTGCATATGGTAATGGCGAAACGCGACGCGGTATACGCACCGGCTGATGGTTCGGACTGCGCAGCGGCAGTGCAGAAACGGCGCAGCTGCTCAGACTGTCTTGATGGCCTTGGCTCAGAGTAAAACAAGCGATGAGGAAGAATTCACAGAAGACAATGCAGCTCGACGTAAGAACTAAACATCTAACCCTTGCTGGTATTTGGCCATAGGCAGATTATGATAGCACAAAGAAGGTGGTGCAGTCCTCCCCTTGTTTTGGTATTTAGCTGAGTTGGAATTTTCACGGGTCAGGTCAATAACTGACTTGCGTCAATAACCACAAATTTTTGATGACCCAAAATCGGTTGGATAAGTATTTTCTCTTTTATCCATGGCTTCAAAAAAATGTTTCTTGTTCGGAGGGAAGCAACTTAGAGCATCCACTATTGACCTCAGGTCAAGGTCAGGTCAATGTCAATCAGGTCACGAAGCTAGTCGGATGAGGCTAGACTGCATATCATTCGAATCGGTGCAGGCTCTTTTTTCTGAGCCCATAGCTTTTTTTTATTTATAAATTTAGCTCGAATGTTTGAATGGACGGATTGACAGAGCCGGAGTCCACGCTAAGCAGAGCTTGTTGCGTAGACCCCGACCCCTACCGTCCGATCGCGCAATTCCGGGTAACGGGAGAATTTAGATGCCAAAGTTTAACGTGCCCTTCAAAGCCGGACACGGCCTGTCCCACTCAACTGACTTCAACTGGCTGCGGCTGCTCCCACCAACCGCAGACCATCCCCGTCAGGAGTCTCATATATCGAGCGCCGGAGCGTCTCGAACCCGGGCTCTCACTACCGGGAGTCCGATGCTCTACCAACTGAGCTACGGGACAGGCAAGCTGGTTTTCAGGACTCACTAGCTAAGTTTGATCGGGATTTATTGACGAAAACCCCGATAAACTTAGTGCTTTGTGACCTCTTACATGACGTCAATCAAGACAAAAAAATGTAAAAGTAACCTTCAAACTTTGCAATGAGTGCATGAAAACGCGATCATGCTTATACTGATAGGTATGCTTGATATCAGCATACGCTGGTGACACTGAATTGATACACCGATATCGGTGCGCTGTAGTCTAAGACAACTTCCGACGCCAAAAGAGTAGTCATAGCCTCCATAATTCCCAATGACTGAAAATGATGTGGCCATGTGGCTGACCTGACTTCAAGTGGGTTTTATTATAAAAAAATGCATATTACAACTAGTTGTGACTACTGGGAAGGTTATTATGTCCTGTAAACTTCATCTTCCTAGAACGAATACCTACCTGGCACTGAGGGTATCGCGAATCTTCGACGTTCCAGGACCGTGCAGATATTCATTTATGACGTTATGGGTCATTGGCCTGACCTGAGCTGAAAATGCGTGTCATACCGCATACGTGTCATGCGATTTGGTTTGAATGAACAGCCAGGTGTGCCACTTTTCAGATCACTACTCGCATATTACCAACGCATTCTGACCAACCACAAAAAGTTAGACCATCCCTCTCCTTAGGCCGGAAAGGCTGGAATTCAAGTGCAAGAAGATGAATGAACTTTCATAAAAAGTAGATCTATCATGAAGAGGACGGGTAAATTTAAAACCACCAGTTGACCGATAAGTATTTGTTGTTTTTTCACCACTGCTCAGCTGGTGAATCATGCCTTGTAAACCTTGGCCCGGTCGTCTCCCCTCTCACTGGCGGGCGGGTCCGGTAGGTACCCCTGTACCCCGGCGGGGCTGCGGAAGGGGTCGGTGACGCCGCCAGCGGTGTCCCTGGCCGCTTCCTGCTCGCGCTGCGGCCGGCCCGGTGGCTGTGCGGACCGTCTCAGCGGGCCGTATAAATGTGCAGCGGCCGGTCCGGACGCCAGCACTCACTCCTCTCTCTTCCACGGCGCACCGCGCGGCAGCCGCCCTCTCTCCACCCATCTCAGGTGAGTCAGTCTATACCGGCGGCCGACACCGGGCGGCCCCGGCCCCGACCAGGGACGCTCGGAACTGATTGGGATATACCTAACTTTGTAGACTGTTCTACGCTGTACTTTTTAGGGTCCAATAACTTTTACGGTTGATAAACATTAACCATATATATTTTTGTTTGGGCTTGATAGGTATTGTTTTACCTCACCATTGCACGCAACAAGAAATGGAGATGGCGTTCCCCATGCTCGATGGAAGGCCTAAAATTAACTATTGTACTACTGTGTCTTTTTTCTGTGATTTTTTTTTGTACAACAAACTTATTTTTATTTTGGAAATCCTTTTAGTTTTACTTTTTGTAATGCTCAACATGATATATCTTGATAAAAATAATTTCAAAAATACTTTATAAAAGTTATATACGCTCTGAAAAGTCAGGCCCTTAGGGGGATATGCATCATATGCCCCTTGCTGCGGCCGCCGTCGTAAACACGCCATTACCTACCGCACCGCGGAAGTCCGGTGCTGCTTGGCGCCACGACTGGTCAAGGTCGCGCGCTCGAGCGCCGGCTCTTGCCCTTTCTAACAGGCCGGCTGGGGAGGGCATCAGAGCGCGCGCGGCCTTGTCAGGTGCGGCTGAGCGCAGCTTCCGCAGCCGGGAGCTGTGCTCCGGCCCTGCGCCCGTCGTGGCCTCGAGCCCCGCCGGCTGGAACGCGGAACCGGGGGCCAGGGGACCGCGGACGGCGCCTGCGCGGGGATCCGCCCCCGCGGACGGCCCGCGAGGCGGCCCGCCGGTCATGTGCGACCAGTCGGCCTGCTGGACGTGTTGCAGACTGTGTTACTGAGTTCCGTGAGTCGCCGTGAGTCGCCGTGAGTCGTCACTGACGCTCGTGTGTGTCTGTCTGTGCCGGCAGCCCCACCCGCCACCATGCACGCCATCCGTGTCGTCTCTGCCCTGCTGCTGGCTCTGCTGGCGCTGACGCTGATGGTGCCCGCCAGCGGGCTGCTCGTGTACCGGGGCCGCGGCGGCGGCCGGGGCGGCCGCTCCTTCGGCGGCCGCACCCGCTTCGGAGGCCGTCGCTGCAACTTCGGCAACACCATCAACCCGGACCCGTTCGCGTTCCCCAACAGCGCGCCGTTCCCGAGCGTGCCGCTGTGCTGAGCAGCGACCGGTCCGCGTCGGGCAGGTGGCGCGGGCGGGCGTGGCCACCCGCCGCACACCGGCGTACCGCGGTACGGCCGGCCAGGCGGCGGGGCTGAGCCCCCGCCCCCACCTGCCCCCCCCCCCGTGCTGTGTCCGTGTAAGAGAGTGCTGTGCTATCGTGAGCGTAGAGGTGTCCTATCAGACACCGTGACCTCACCTGATGACCCTTCAGCCAGCGGGCTCCGTGTTCTCCGCTACACGTCTGTGTACAAGGAGGCACGGACGGCTGGCCGGCGCGGCGCTGTCGCTGCGCCGGTACCCTGCAGTGTACCCTATCGGTCGTGGCCTGTCCCCCCTCCGCGCCCGGGAGCGGGGTGGGACGCGGCGCGGCTGATCGCATTGTCAATTGTTTTTCGTGTATTTTATTATCAGCCATGACTGTGTAATTTATTGTCATATGATATTGTTCATGGGCATTGCGCCGAATCGAGTGAATTGTTAATACACAAATGTGGATCCTTTTAGTTCGTCTAAAAGTCGCACACGAGGATCGATCGTTGATATCGCGTGACAACATTCATGATGTAACTAATATTGTTGGAGTTTTTCGTTAGTGCTCCGATTCAAATTGACGTAGCGACTCGGGGAAACCACCAATGAACTCAGAATTGGCAAATAGAATGATATGCATAAATTCTAATGCACCATGACGACCTCCTCCCACCAATATCGTGACCTAACAGGCTATGACCTGACTCTAACCTAAAATAAATATCCTGAGTTGGCCTCGCTGAAATGAAAAGTGTATCATTCGACGCGTCTTACCGAGACACACACGATATGTGTCAAAATTGTGACTTTGCTACCATTTTTGGCGAAGTTATTCGCCAAAGCCCTCGGTAGAGGAGAACATAAAACTGATAGGTACGGCGAGCGTTATGTTGTTTTATTTGGAATCACATTACGTATATACAGTTGACTATAAAATGATATTCCACCTCTCAAGCTATAAATTGACTGGAACGAATCACCCAATAGTATGGTGAGCGCAGGGTAAGACGAACGTCGAACAGACTGAATTACTCCACTCTCGCCTCACCAGGGCGAAGGGTAAGATCCGAACAGTTAGCACAAGCTTCAGATCCCTCATCACATTATCATCATAATCAAACAAATAAACAAACAAGCGTTGGGCCAAACATATCAAGTTATTGCCTGGCGTAGGATCCCACTAACAATACAATGGTGCGAGGTGCGGTCAAGACCGTATAGAGCAGAATCGCGGCACGCTTTAGAACTTCAAATACGGTTGACTCGATCCAACTGCCGGCAGCGTTTAATGACGGTGGGAAAAACAAACACACACAAGCACAGCACACGAGCACACAATACATACATGCACACAAAATCCGAAAATGAGACTGGTCCAGCCGAGTGCCTTCAGCGCCCCAGCGGGGCTATGGCCCGGGCCGCGGCTTGTTTACTGCACAATGTTTATGGGCTGTCTAGAAGCTGCAGCCATGATCTCGAGCCGACGCTTTTACAGCAGCCCCGGCCGCTGGACTATAACGCGGACACTACTAATGGCGACGTCGGCCGCTCGCGCAGCGGCCAGGTCCGTTTGCTATGAAGGTGATCAATGCGTATGCAGCACACAGGTGCGGTGACGGCGAGCTATCGGCTGCTCCGCCGTCACAGCATAAATAAAGGACAACAACAACATAGCGCCGCGCTCGGGTCAGGCGCGCTGCGCCCGCTGAGGCGTGCCGGTGGATCCGCGCCAGTCTGCGGCGACCGGCGGATGCCAACGGTCACTTGGCGACTGTCTGCGCCGGCCGAGCTGGCGGCTGGGGTTCGTCAGTGTGTGGCCGGTGCCCCTCAGCCGGAGCTGACCGGCGCCGCAGAGACACCCCCGCACAGCGGCAGGTCGACGGTGAAGTTGATCGCGGCCTGTCTCAGGGAGTGCCGCACCTCCTGGTCACCGCAGTGCACTGGGTTGCCTGCCGCAAACACAAGAGTTCAAAGTTGAATTTGATCCAAAGAATTAAACAAACACTGAACCGTCACGTGATCGGACCCAACGACCGAGAAGAGAAGCGTGCTGCTCCGCACTGAAAGATCGCATATTTCCACCAGTAATTATTTAATGTAATATTGGTTATTGAACGTTTGGACGGATTGCATATGGAACGTCCATCAGATGTTGATGGTTCGGGGTTGCGCGGTGACCTCTGGCCGGCACGGTCGGCCGACCGGCGCCGGTAAACAGAACGGGCAGCCGGCGCGCCGCCGCCCGCCGCTCCCTAACTCACCGGTTGCGCGCAGTTTGCGATGCTGGAGGCTGCAGCGCCAGTCCGGGTGGCTGTGCCAGCGCAGCCGGATGACGGTGTTGTTCCTCACGTCCAGCACGCAGAGCGCCGGCAGGCGGTGCAGCGATACGTCCAGCTGCTGCAGGCGGTTGTTGTTGAGCAGCAGGGTCTGCAGATGCAGCAGGCGCGGCTGTGGAATACACACAACGCACACAGTGAGCTAGCTCGTTGGACAGAGGAGCCGCGAAGATCACCACATTACTTCAGTCATCGCCCATCGGGCTTTAGTACAATCCAAATACTTATTCGGTAGCATGCTGGGAAAATATGCTGCTTTGTGGTTCCTCGTAACAGCCTGGGATGAGCGAAGGCCATAAAACTAATTTTAATTACATAATTTTAATTACATGAAGCAGAATTGTGTATATCACCAAGGATGCATATTGCATACACATCAGGTCATCGGCGACACAGATCTAATCACGTGAAAGATATTTTATCAATAACCACGATAAGCTACACACGATCAGCGCGGAAGTTCCATCTTCTCCGAACGCAACCCTGTGCCTTGCTGTGACCTCTGATTACCGCTCCACGCTGAGTGAATCAAAGCGCAGAGAATTGCTGAGTCAGGCTGAGCTACAATGAGTTGGCCACCGGCGTACTACAAAGGCGTGGGCGAATCGAGACACTTGAAACCACAGCCCCCACAGTCCTTAGACTTGATGATAACATAAGTGGCCGATGCAGAGCTACAGACCTTTGTCTATCATGAGGTTTAGATGTTTGATTAGCTGTGGTAGGTGCGGTCACAACGTTGTTAGTGCAAACGTACCACGGTCCCAAATATTTGGCGTGCATGAGGATACAATGCCGTGATGTCGGATGCTTCGCATGAGCTTCTCGTCAGCAAACAAATGCGATAATATCCGATATACAATGTCCGGGGTCATTGCTTGACCTTTTGACCTCAAAGTAGACCTCAAAGACCCCAAAGCAAACCGATGACATCTACATAGAGTGTTTGAAACTGTTCTATACTTCACCTCTTTAAACGCTAGTCAATTAGGAAAACACTCAAGGATCTCATCCGACCACTTAAATTGCAAGGATAAATAAGCAAGAACATAATACAGCTATCAGGATCGTTGGGTATAAAGTTACCAATCCGCGGTGCTCTGCGTCACCAATTTTCAATCGCCAGGCGCGGCGCTGACGGGTCTGTGACGAACCTCTGCGGGCGCGGCCCCGACCTGAAGCGCCCGCTGCGTCCCTCGGGTGACACAGTGAGCCGACCGGACGGTGGCGGACACCGCGTGGTGGGTCCGATTACCGAGCCGGTAACAGACACCCCGGGCGGAGTGTTTACGGACTGCAGCACTCGACCGCACCGACCGCTTGAGCCACCGCGAGCCGCGAGCCCAACGGCGTAAATCGGCGCCACGCCGCACAGCACAGAGCCTAAATAATCTACACCAAATTCCGTACTGAATAATTGACGAGCGTCAACAACGCTATTTAATTAGTCGCTAAAGTATGCGAGGCACTGTCAGATGAAGACAATAAAAGCAAGAGGGTTTCCAGGGATTCAGATGACAGCATCAGCAAGGTCAGACAAATTGGGTCAGACTCGTTCTTCAGAATACTTAGAACGTGGTGTTTGTTATGGTAATCAGCTGTCATACTGTCATATACTTTCGTTCCCGTCTTATATGCTAACAGCGCACAGGCTAGCATCCCTTGGGACGGATATCAGGGACGGACAACTGGTATCCGTAGCGCAGCCAAACTACCAGCAGCAAATGAGCATAACAAGCATATCTTATTAGCGGTTTTCACGACGGCTTTCTGGCACACATCTGGTTCACATTCGGTGCAATTTGTTCCAATTAGGTTCTTGATTGATTCTTAGTAGTTTTTCAGCTTAGTTTGCAGTAGTTGCTAAGTTACCTGATTCATAAAATTATCAAACAGTATCCTCGACTAAAACAGCCGTGCTCTCGCCCGGTGTCACATTGTTCTCGGCTCTCGCGCAGCTCACCTTCCTTTTGTGATGCTCTCAGGCGGACCCACCTTCTTCTCGCAGGTTCACCTTGTTCTTACCTCGCTCTGGCACGGACCCACCTTGCTCTCACGCGTCTCACCTTGCTCTCGTGCGGCAGCTGCTCGCGCGGACTGAGCGGCGTCACGGAGGTGAGGCTGTTGTCGGACAGGTCGGCGCTGACGAGAGCCGGCAGCGCCTCCAGCAGCTGGCCAATGCGCTGCAGACGGTTCCCAGATAGAGCCAGCACCTCCAGCGACGGCAGACCGGCAAAGTTGGCCGCCGATAACTGCCGAAAGAGCAGCGGTTACGGTGACAATTCAACAAACAAGCAATGAAAATAAACTGAGGCATAAGAGAGTGCCTACATGACAGCGTCTCTCCGAAACCGCGGAGTATCGGTGAAAATTCAACTAACGACGTGACTTAGGAATGAATATAAATGTGATCGATCAGTATAACAATGTACCCACCCACCTCGACGAGCTGGTTGTTTGAGAGGTTGAGCTTGACGAGTTTCGGCAGGTTCAGTTGGCCCACGGAGGTGATGCGATTCCCAACAGCGAACAGCTCCCGAAGTGAGTGTGAAAATACCCGGCCCTGTAAACAGGAATAGATTCATGGGTAGTGGAGGGGGTCAAATTGGACAGCTGTCACAATGCATAGCGCATCGAATGCATCCTTTTCCCAGTGTCCAGGAAGATATTTTGAACACAACTTCGTGCGTAGCAGGTCGTTGAGTTCTGAGAAATGGCATCAGCAATGACACATCGCAGTCTGAAACAATCTTTATGCCACACTGCGCAAGAAACACTTGTCATTTTATGCATTATCAAAAGCACAATCACTTAGCATTCAACTAAACATAATTGCATTTTTTCAACAGGTTCAAAATGTGCTATATTTCATCAAAATTGTATGTTTCTACCGGTGTGTTGTACGCATAAAGAATACCTATCCACAAACGTAGAATAAAACAACAAATCCAGAAACGATTAACAGTTTTATTACAACACAGTCCAATATTTCAGTGCTGGTTACCTCGATCATTGCGTCTGACTCGAAAAGTCTGACGTCAGCAGCGTTTGTTACACGCTCTGCCGCTGTCTACTTTATTGTGACGCAAGGAATGGATAGTGTTAGCGATAGTAAAAATAAATTAATTTCATAACCTAGTCTGGCGTCAGAATGTACTTGAATGGCGTAATGCCGGCTGCATAGCATCATTTACGTTGTTTAAGAGCATAACAAAGGACTTTGTGTGCGCGGCGGATTTCCAGAACATTCGCCTCGCAAAAGACGGAAGGGGTTCGACAATCAACATGCCGTCACGGAACGAATGGTAACGTTATCTCCCGCAACAGAAAACGAAAAACATTGGAAACAACAAAAACAAGCTACACACAGGCAATAAATCAAACGCGGCCATTCCACTAGACGCTTAACCCGCGCCCTGGTGTGGGTCTGAGCCACCTTCGCCCTGGTGGGGGGGGGCCAAAATGACCCCCCCCGTCTAACTCGAAAACGAAGAGGGCTAGGAAGACGCGGAAAAAAGCAAACGAAAGCCCATAACAAGTACGTTCGAAAGTATTTCGGTCATTTTTTCGCTAAGGTCAATATTGAGGTCGCTAGAGGTCATCATAGGTCAAATTTCAGTGTTTTCGGTGTTGCCGGACATATTCCGCTGTAGCTCGGAAACTAGAAGAGCTAGAGAGCCGCGGAAAAAAGCAATCGATAGCTCTTTTCAAGCTCTTTCGCCAAGGTTCGTCAGATTTGACCTCAGCTCAACGGTTTGGCCTACAGAGGTCATGCAAGGTCAACTTGGCAAATTTTGTTGAAAATGTTTTTAACTATAGCATGCATTCACGAGAAAATAGAGAAACGATTCATGCACCATCGTGCTTGGCTCGTCGAGACGCGTCGAATGATATATAGCTTGACCTCGAAAGGTCATTTTGAAAATTTGACCTCAGGTCAAGGTCATGACCTTACCGAAATAGGTCATGCTGCATATCATTCGATCCGCATTGACGAGACAAACACGATAAACGTCGAACGGAGTCTCTATCTCTATTCAATAACAAGTAAGTGCAGAAAAACCGCTGGTGACCTCTGGTGACCAGGGAGATGACCTAGCGTGACCTCAGCGAGGTCACAAGCAAATGGTTTCACATGGGCTGTGATTTGCTGACCCAAGACACTTCAATAACGAAATATAGGATCAATCACGCCCGATTTAGCTGAAAAACAACTACTTTTCGATTCTCCCATTGACTTATAATGGGGAGCAGCGATGACCTGACCTGACCTTAGGTCACATTTATAAAAAATCCGAGATAGCCATTTTGTAGAGCTGGGTGACATCTTCAAGTACTGTAAATTTTACATCGATCGGATAAAAGCTGTGCCTTTGAGAGAGCTTTGAACTTTTTTAGAGGTGGTGTCAGTTTTGGTGACCTTGTGACCTGACCTGACCTGACCCGAACCCCCCAAAACAGGACATGATGTAAAAATGTTGAATAAACAGCTATACAAAGTTTCAGGGCGCTAACTCAAGTGGTTTCTGAGTTATCGCTGAAAAACCACAGGGGGGGGGGGCCAAAATGGCCCCCCCCCACCAGGGCGAAGGTTAACAGAAATGCCGAGAACGATGCAACCTTTAAACGGTGAATGATTAACCCTCGCCCTGGCAGGGCATTTTTCATAACACGGCCTGGCAGGGGGGGGGGTCGATGCGACCCCCCCCCCCTCGCGATTGGCTCCTATGGCACCTAGAAACACCAAATTTGGTAGGTAGGTGGGCCCCCTGGAGTTCTCGCCCCTGTGCAAATTTGGTTGCTCTAGGTCAATATTTAGGGGGGTTTTGGGGGGTATAAATGTAAAAATTTCGCTAAAAACAGGTCAAAAGTTTTTCGCTTATAACTTTTGATCTAATTAAGATAGAGCAAAAAGAAAAGCACCAGTGAACTCAGCACGTCAAGGCGCGTCGAATGATATACTTTTTAGCTTGCTTAAGTGTACTTAAAGTTTTTCTTAAATTTTAAGTAAACTTAAATTAATAAATTAAGTTAAAGTTACCTAAATTGCATCATATTGCATATCACTCGATTCGGCTGATCACCAGGAACACAATGATACCATTTTTTAAGCTCTAGCGTCATTATGTGCCAAGTTATTGGCAAAAACGTCATTTGACCTCAGTTGACCTCATTTGACCTGACCCATGGATAAGTACACCAAACAAAGAAGCACCAAGTGACCTGCTGTTAAGTACTGTGGTTTCAAAGCACAAAAGTGATAGAACGAAGCGGATATCTCCAGTATTTTCCGAATTTAGTATTTTCCCATAGGCTTAACATTACGACGTAATGACCTCTAACTGACCTCAGGTCAGTGACCTCAAAAAACCCGAACTATATGTTATACAACTCGGTGAACTTAGCACATCCTGAAAGTTTGAAGGAAATCGGTGCAAAACTGTGAGTTGGACAGGTGCAAAAAGAAAATTGAAATTTGACCATGACCTTGTACCGGTTTTTCTGACCTGGTGACCTGACCCAAGGTCACCCGGACCTGAAATTTTCAGGTCATATGTAAAAAGGTTGCCCCATAGGCTGTGCCAAATTTGGCGGCGCTGCGCGCCGCCATTTTTACGCTATCTTCGAAAAACCTTAGGGGGGGGTCGCATCGACCCCCCCCCCCCCTGCCAGGGCGAGGGTTAAGTACGAGGACATTTGCCGATCAATGTCCGTTTGAACATGCCTAGTACAGCTGGCACTCCGTGGTCGGGGTCTCCAGGGGTCAGAGGGCGCTCCACGACCGCAGAACCAGCCTGTATGAGTTCGATTGGATGCAAGTGAAAGCAATTGCCGGCACTGCGATGTGATGTAAGCGAGTTAACGGCGTCGGATGCCGCAGCGCGGGACCTCAGTGTGTGCGCTGTGTGGGCCCGGCTGTGTGTTGCAGGCTGACGGGTACGTGGGTAGTGGGTAGTGGGGAGGAGGGCAGGGACAGTCCGACATCCACAGACCGCTTCACGCTCTACCGTGCTCGCCTCGCTGTATTTCACTATAGCGATAGTCGGTGAAATTCAACTAACAACGTAGGAAGGAGTACTGCAATCAGCAAACACGTGATGTTATCATGAAATTAGCGTCGAAAATTACATATTTATGTGGAGTATTTGCACAGGTCACCGCTCAAGTGCAAGCTCTTCTCCCTTGAGCCAGTATGGGACATGTGATAATGCGTGAAATGTTTGGTCAAGGAGCCTGTCGGCGCGGCCCAATGTCAATATTGATAACAGTGACAAGGAGCAGAGCCGGGTGCGGCGGTCTGCGGTCAGGCCAACTCAGACAACAGACCGGGCAGGCCACAGGCGCTCCGACGTATAACTCTGCTCCGACCAGACCTGTCGAGGAGCGCCAACAAATCCTGCCCACTGCCGGACAGTCTCTGGTCGATACACTGATGGTCGGCCAGATGGCTAACCTTTGATGCCAGAGAGCTGGACCTGCCACACTGGATAAACCCACAAGACAGACGGACGGGCAATTTGTAAACCCTCCTGACTGGCTGACGGTCGGATAAAACCAACTGAGTGCTGGAAAACTATGACCGGCCGTTCGACAGTCCTAGTGATCATTGCCCTCGCGCGACTTCGCCCGCCGACTCACGTCTGGGGGTGAGCGGCCCCGCCTGCAGGCCCACGCGGGTCACGGAGCGGCAGACTGGCCCAGAACTACACTCTATCGCCCCTCTAGTGGCACCCACCTGGTGGCGGTCCGGTGCCAGCTCGGCGACGGAGCTCAGCTGGTTGTGCGAGAGGTTCAGCTTGGTGAGCGCGGGCAGCACGGTCAGGATGGGGCCCAACTGCCGCAGCTGGTTGCCGTCCAGGTTCAGCTCCTTCAGCGCCGGCAGCCCCTGCAGCTGATCCACCGACAGCTGCGGGTAGAGAGTGTCCCACTCAGTACCCGACACCCAAACCCAGAACACCAGACACTCCGACCGGACAACCCGGCACTCGAATCAGGGCACTCAGCAATCTAACCATGAACAATGAGCACCCCGCCGGACCAAAGCATCTCGCCAAAACCAGAACAACCGGCACTCAAACCAGAACAATCGGTACTCAAACCAGAACAACCGTCGGCACTCAAACCAGAGCAATCGACACTCAAACCAGAACAACCGGCACAAATACCAGAACGACCGGCACTCAAACCAGAACAACCGGCACTGAACTCAGAACAACCGGCACTCAAACCAGAACAACCGGCACTGAACTCAGAACAACCGGCACTCAAACCAGAACAACCGGCACTGAATTCAGAACAACTGTCACTGAAACCGAAATACCCTACTCAAACCAGCAGGTTCTTGTACTTATCCCGCGCCCCAGTGGCGGTCTCAGCCAACGGCTTTGCCCTAGTGGGGGGGGGGCATATGTTACCACCCACCTCTAACTAAAAAACTAAGAGGGCTAGAAAGACGCGGTAAAAAGCCGTCGATATCCCTCGATGAGTACGTTTGAAAGTATTTCAGTCATTTTTCATCTTAGAGCAATATTGGGGTCACCAGAGGTCGTCAAAGGTCAAAATTTGCGAATTGTCATGATATTTTTCAGAAAACATGCCATTATCTCAGGAACTATGATAGCTAGAAAAACGCTTGGAAAAGCAATCGATAACTTTTGAACTCTTCTTTTGATAAGGTAATTATCAAAAATGACCTCAGGTCGATGGCTTAGCCTCCAGAGGGCAAAAACTCCAAAAATAGCTGTTTTAACGAAAAGTGTTTTTCGCCAATAACTTTTGACTAAAAAGCGCCACGACATTTCTATTGCCAGAATCGTGTTCCTTTCGCCAAGACGCGTCGAATGAATTATGACTTGACCTTGAAAGGTCAACTTGAAAATTTGACTTCAGGTCAAGGTCATGACTTGACCGAAAAAGGTCATGTTGCATATCAGTCGATGCGTCTCGGCAAGACAAACACAATGAGGCCATCCCCAGCGTTCTATCTCTTTCCAATCGAGAGTGATTGGCAAAAATATGTTTGTAGCCTCAAATGACCTCGGATGACCTCTCTAGAGGCTACTCAGCAAAAAAGACAACTTGGTCGTCACGGGTGGTCCAATTATCGTGATTCTGAAATATTTGGACTGTTCCTATTCGTACACACGGATCTAGAGGCATTTTCGTTTTTCTCCATTGACTTATAATGGAAAGGTCACACTACTGACCTGACCTTAGGTCACGGATATAAAAAATCCGAGATATACAACTTGTAGGCGCCCATAACATCATGCAATCCACCAAGTTTAAAACCTTTCTGACAAGCACTGCAGGCTGGCCATGATTGCAAACATTTTTAGGCTTGGTCAGTTAACTTGACCTGGTGACCTGACCTGACATGACCTGGGGTCAACAATTTCACAAATTGTCCAAAATTGATGTACAAAAAGCTACTCCAAGCGGCGCGGCGCTACGCGCCGCCGTTTTTTTTTTATTCACACGCCAAAAACGCGACAGGATGGTAGCGAAGGTTATAGGTCAGTCAGAGTTAACCCTGATCACACAATTTTTAATTACTAACAAAACCAAAGCCGACAAGGTAACTAGAAAACCATGGTATAGACTGCTAATGGGCCGTGGATGTGTAGACCCTGCACCTGCGCTCGTGCTAAGTGAGACCCTAACTGACAGTGTGGGCCACCATTCCACAGCGATGCACCAGCTTTTAGTGCAAGCGGTCCAGCCGTTTCCGATGTGTAGGAGCGTAATCCGCACGTGCGCACGTGCATGTTGCACCCCAATCATGACACAATACATTGATAAGCTACAAGCACTTATCCCAACAAATAAAGTAAAATCGCATGAAATAAACCGACAGGATACGATGTCATATAATTTCAAGTGTAACACCACATTTTATATTGTATAAAGATCTATTTCGTCCAGAGATATGTTACTTTGGCTTTTATCTCAGTTTACGTCAAAACGCTATATATCATGTCGAGGGGATAAGTTATCTTTCCGGACAAACATTAGTAGATTGGTATGATTTGTATAAGAGACGACACATTTTTTTTTTTTTTATTCAGGTACATTTATTGTGCTATTTAACAGAAAGTACAAGCTCACATGCATAAACACATTAACCACATGTACCCATACGAACCGCCGGTGCCGCTCAGAGCCTGTGCTCCCTGGCGCGGCGGTTACAGCGCCCCGCCGGCTCCCTCTGCGCTGACCACTTGGTTATATAGGTCTTTGTGGAGGTAGAAGAATATGTAGCCGTTTCTCTGGTGTCCCTCGCCCATAATGTCGGCCTCGTCGACACAGCTGACTCGGCTATCGTTATAGTGGTACCAACGGTCCCTGCCGACGCTGTAGACGTCCGACACGTAGTGTCCGGAGTGCGTGGCGCCGCCGTAGTGGCTGACGATGCCCACCAGCCGGTAGGTAAAGTCGCCGGCCAGGTCCACTGAGCAGAGAGACTGGCCGTCTTCCACGCAGAAATCCGAGAGATGTGCCTGCTCCGAGGTGTCGGCCGGCGCTCCCTTCCCCAGCGACCTCACGATGGCTTCCTGGAGCTCGCCATCTTCGTCCTCGCGGGTCCGCGCCGGTTTGGACTCGGAGTCAGCGTCCAGCACCACCAGCTCATCCTGCGCTGGCGGCGGCGGCGGCAGCGGCTCGGCACCGGTCGCCGGTGAAGAGGGACGCGCCGGCGCTGCGGTTCCGGCCGACACCGGCGATCCGGCGGCGGCGGACTCCGGCGGGCCGGCGCTGGCGGTCGGCACTGATGACGGTCCACAGGCGGCGGGCGGCGGCGACGGACCCGACCTGGGCGCCTCAGACTCCTCGAAGTCGGAGAGGGTGCACAGGGAAGGCTTCCTGCACTTCCACTCGGGAGGCCGGGTGACGTCATCCGCGACATATTCGTTCAGTGAAAGGAACTTGGGAATGCCGACATTGGCGCGGATTTTCTTCGATTCCAAACACAAATTTTGGCCCGGCAGAATCAGGCATGTGGTGTGGATGACGTCGTGGCATTGGCATCCGCCACTAGCAGCATAAAAAACGTTTCACTTATCCCTGTTGTGTTGCACAGTTTATATGTTTCGGTACCACTATCTAAATAAAACAACCGATGCTTTAGGGGGACCAGTATGACATAAAGCTTCAAAGAAGAGCGCTAGCCTTTATTATCGAAATATTTTGATATGAGGAACATTTGTGAGAAACATAGCACAAGTTCCGGGGTAGTCTCAGCATCCAGATAATAATAAGAAATAAAAACGTTTTTTAAAGATGACTTTATATTCGCGGTCTCAGAGAAGACATTACAGACCGGAAAACGGGTGGATATAGGAAATTCCTATACCCTTCACATTTACGATTGTAAATATGCTGAAGGGATAAACCTAACTTTATGTAAGCAAAAGGGACAGCAATAATTTCATAGCATTAGAAAAGTACGAGCATGTGAATGATTGTACAATATGTTGTTGCGATATTTAGTCTGATACGATATGTTATGACGGTATTTCATATTATAACAAAATATTATGAGATATGTCACGATCTATTATTGCACCAAACAGCAGTATTTAACCCTATTAGTGGCAGGGGGGGTTGTTTTTATCCACCCCTCAGGTTTTTCGGGAATATCTCCGAAACCGCTGAAGCTACGATGCTGAAATTTTCTGACTTTTCCTAAAACTAAATTGGGCACATTCCCTGAAAATTTCAAGTTCATAACTTTACCAGGGGCGGCTCCAGAGCACTGGGAATTGGGGGGTCCTATTCGTGAAGCGAGTCATTTGGGCGAAGATCACGATGCTGCACCAGTTTTACGAACAGTGAATAAAAGGTATCATGTGATAACATATACAGTTATTGTGCATCCTCTTTTGACACGTTTTTGCTATAATAGGCGGATCCAGGCGTCCAAAAAGGGGGGTTATGTTTTACCTCCCAACATAGGTGCCCTGACACCGCCTATGCATTACCAATACAATTTTAGTCGTTCTCTCATAAGAAAATTATAACATAACAAGACCATTACCACCCTTTTTGGAAAGAGTACCAACAAAAACCTTATTTACTATACTTTTTGTGTACCCCCAATCTCAATGATCTGTATCCGCCTATGATTTTTGAAAATGCATATTTTTAGGATCCATGTGAATGCCTGGTTCATTCTCTATCGATCGGCAAAAGTTGCGTTAAGATTGGTTCAGAAACCTGGCCGTGATAAACAGTCTAAAATGTATCTGCAATTTGCCCGTTTTTACCCCCCTCTACCCCCCCTATTGACATTTTTTAATTTTTATTTTTTAGAAATGTAGATCACGTTGAGCGAAATCGAATGCCGTTTGAATTTTGAAAATCGGCCCGTTAGATCTCAAGATATCAAGGGGGGGGGGGGTCGTAAACAGCCCCCCCCCTGCCACTAATAGGGGGTAGCCAGGAGCCTGCCACTAATAGGGTTAAATCGGCCAAAATGAATACAGATGATGCCGCGAGGCGGGCCTATTGTACTGTTGACCTCACTCAGACGTCAGCACTCAGACTGTTGACTGCCTGGCCGTCAGCACAGCTATCCATGTGCGTGACCGCGGCGCACCAGCGGGCTGTGGGTCGGGACCGCGGGCGTCACCGTCATTCGTCTCCCTCTGTTGTGACTGGGGACGGGGGCCGTTTGGACTCCCTCCTGACGCACCATCGCCCCCGTCAGAGTTGACGCGAAACTGCCGCCGACGTCACACGCCTGACGACGCGTCCACCGGCCGGCCAACATCAGTCATGAGAGCCGGCAACTATACGGTGGCCTAATTTCCCGGCTAGCGGGACGTGGTGACGTCAATGCGTCTAGTGCCTGCGTCACCGAGGAGGTTAAGGTCACACTCGCGTGCCGGGAGTACGCGTGCCTCGGCGGCTGCCGGTCTCGCCTAATCGGCCGCTTATGTGAAAAGGCGTGACGTAAGGGCTCGACGACGGCCAGGCAAGACATAAACACGGCTGGCACGTTATGAAGGGGCCGTTCGGCGAGGCGTTTAGTGCCCACTCCCGGCAGCTGGGCCGCTGGCGGCACGCGGAAATGGTCCGGAAATGGGCTGTCAATGGGGTAGGGCAGGGCGGGCAGCCAGGGGTCGCCTGGGAAATCGGCGCAGGGGTCGCCTGGGGAATCAGCGCAGGACAATATATACAACGCCGGTGTGCAACAGCCATTAAAAACGACAGGTTGCGTCGAACATGCATAAAGCCCAGCACATGGTGTTTCACATATGTTTACCTGTTACAATAGTCAATACCTATCCAAATATCTAAGGATGTTCATTCATTATTATGTTCCTTGTTTACATTCAAGCATGTCCTTTTGACCTGAACACCTGAAAGCGGTATGCCGTTGGGATTTACTGCTATTAGTATGATGCCATGCTTGTTCCGCAACGTCTCTATCAATCGTTTTTCTTTTCGGCCAAATTCATAGACAAATGTGAGTCAGCCCTGCAAAAGGTGTGGACAGTGGCGGTTTTCGCTTCAACTTACTTATCCACAAATACATAGCTGGCGCCCATTGAGTAAATGCTGTTGAATATGTTCGCAAAAGCCTTTTAGTAGGTATGTGTATGTACCATTTTGAATAGGGTACTTTCAGTATGTATCATTTTAAATAGGTAGCTCCAGCAGGTCCGTGCGGCTCCCTCGCTGGCCTACCTGGTCGATCAGGTTGCGGGAGACGTCGAGTCTGCTGAGCCGGTGCAGTCGGAGGTGGCCGATCGAGCGGAGCCGGTTCGAGCCGATACTGAGCCGGTCCAGGCCGGCCGCCTCCTGCAGGCCGTCCACCGACTCCAGACGGTTGTCGTAGGCAATCAGGGAGGTCAGCTGGCCGCCCTCCGGCAGCTGGCCGCGCAGAGAGGTCAGCTGGTTGTTGGAGACGAACAGCCAGCGGAGACTGGTGAGCTGACTGCGACAGACAGAGCAGTCTGGTCAGCTGGATGCGACAGACAGACAGACAGACAGACAGACAGACAGACAGACAGACAAACATGCAGAGTAGACTGGTGAGCTGGCTGTGACAGACAGACAGACAGACAGACAGACAGACAGACAGACAGACAGACAGACAGACAGACAGACAGACAGACAGACAGACAGACAGACAGACAGACAGACACAGACAGACAGACAGACAAACATACAGACAAACATACAGACAGACATACAGACAGATAGAGCAGACTGGTCACTTGGTCAGGTGGGTGGAAATACAGCCAGAGCAATGAGCCAATGTGTCACCGCAAGGGTCAGGTCGGCATTTGGATAGTTTTTCTTTACACGTTACATGCTAAAGAAGTGGATGCGGAAGTTTTAGGCATTATCGCTAAGATAATCAATTAGGCACGCCGTATGTACTTGAATCAACTTCATCCAGCCTGGATGGGTTCGTGCAGGCTGTGGATTTACTCAACAAGGCTGGTCTGCGGCGGCTGGCGGGCTGAAAAGCGATGATATTAAGGTCGGTGTCTGGTGGCTCTACTATGCGCCTCGCTCACCTGACTGTGCCGTTCAGCGTGTGCAGCTGGTTGTCCGTCAGGCTGAGGTGCCGCAGACCGGCCGGCAGGGCTCCCTGCTCCATCCGGCGCAGTCCGTTCGCGGCCAGAGAGAGGTGGCGCAGGCACGGCGCGGCGCCCAGCCGCCCGCGCGCCAGCCGCCCGATCCGGTTACCGTTCATGGTGAGCGTCTGTAGGCGCGGCAGAGTGGCCAGCGCCGCCTCCGGCACGGCCGACAGACGGTTGTCGTCGAGCCGGAGCAGCTGCGCCGAGCCCAGACCGGCGAACAGCGCCTCGGGCAGCGAGCTGAGCGCGGTGCCGCTCAGCTCCAGCTGTTTGACCGGCCGCGGCTTGTCGCCGAGCAGCTGAGCGCCCAGAGGGCCGCCCCAGCCGGAGAGCCGCAGCCGGGTCCTGCCGGAGACAGGATTCTGTTAGTTCTCCAACGGGCCTCCGACCCAGCCGGAAAGTCGCAGCCGGCTCCTGCCGGACACAAAACTCTGCGAGACCTTCTCTATCGCTCCCCGAGACGTCTGACAACCGCAGACTGTTGCATCGCACTGATTGATATACTCTGGCAAATATCGTAGCGTTACATGCTCTGGCAGCTGAGCCACTGTGTCTGAACGCGAGTCCTATCCGATGATAGATCTTTACAGATGGTAGATGCTGTAGGCAGTGGGCAAGCAAAGCGGTGAAACCCAAACATTCACTGCTCGCAAATTATTGAAACCACAAAGTTCCTACTAAAAACATTTTCAATTGACGCTTTTGTGGATTGCGGGGAGCCCGGAAGCTCCGCACTGGGCGGGTTGGCGGTTGGTGAGTGGTCGTCGGGCGCTCGTACGCTAACCGCACATGGTGACTCGTGCCGCGGTCTCCTCTGGCGTCAGCCGTGCGGCAGCGCAAGCAACCGGCGCATGGCAACAACGGCAATTTCCAGCACTACCGTCTAGTCATTCTCCTGTCGTATTACCTCCGTAAAACTCCGCAATGTCTCGCCTTAACATGTTTCAGTGGAGTGACAACTATTGAATTATTATTTTAAAGTATTAGATAAATTAAAAACAAAAATTGAACCGTCGTTACTAAATGGCAGCAAGACCTCGTAAAGTATAATAAACCGTCTTAAGTGCCTTACCGAAGTGGCGAAGTAGCAGTACACCGAGCTGGGGCAAGTGTAACTGGTGTCCCCATTGCATAGCGCGCGCACTGCTACATGTGCTGATGGGGAAATTACATGAACTATCAGGTCATTCACGCTGTCAAACCAGACCGGCCCGAGTCAGTCGTCTGACCTGAGGTCAATGACATTTTGTCATTATAGCTTTCGCCCTTCTGAACTGTTCTGCGGAGCAAAGATGCATGCGTGTTAGATAATGAATTGTCATAAGCGATAACACTGGACGTTACAAGAACCGAGATAATGAAATCCGTATTAAACGTTCTATCATTGTGTCTGAAAACAATGAAGATAAAAGAAACGAAACATAAATAGTCAGATTTGCGCAAGCCATTAGTAGAAATTGCAAATGCGTCTCCCAAACAAATACCTTTGGAGAAAGCCGAAAACAATTACTGTGGCAATAATATAAATACCTAACAAAATCCGTGTATCCTTAGAGCCGGATTTATAGTAACAACAGATTTATAAATTTCGATGTAAATGTCAATAATGATATTAAACGAAAGGAGCACGGATATTCAAGTTTGCGCAGATTTTAACTCGAGCCCCAGGGCTATCGGCGGACCCTGCCACCCGTAGGATGGGGCATCGTTTCACCCCTCCCCCCCTTAGATCTCGGAAAGTTACCGGACGATTTTCAAAATTCAAACGGCATTCGATAGCCCCGCCGGAGAACTACATTGTGACCAAATCTTATTGACTTCCGTCCAACCGATGACGTCACATGTCAGGTCAAAAGTCGCATTTTCACCGTTTACAGGCATTCTTAGAAATGTGTTGTAAAATCAAAAAGGGAAAGAAGGGGGAACACCGACCCCTTTAACCTTTTAGTGCGTTGTCACGTAATTTTTTGGCCACATGGTAAATCTCTCCGTTTCATTAGATTGTCGCGTTAATTTTACATACATATCACCCAATTGTTTTCTTGTAATTTCGTTCATCATTGCATTATTCCACATTTAGTAAAAATCTACATTTTCGGGGTAACGCCGCCAATTGGGTAACACTGACACCGCCCGAGCACAGCAGGCAACGAAATTTGCAGGTTGCTGAACTACTAAGCTGTTCTTCTTATCGTGAATTTCTAGGCGTTTCAGTATAGGTATTCATAAAATGCAGTGGGAGCAATACTATTATATCCCTGGTACAATGAAGTAGGGGAGACCCGGGAGGTATGGGCCCCCTGGAGGTATGGGCCATCGCAGTTTTGAAGAAGTGTTGCGTATTTTTACACATTAGACGGCGTTAACTGGTAGCAGCCATTCCGTTATGCATCCCACGTGATTCTTAAAACCTTCATCAGTCTTCTTTGGCAATGAGCGGTGATAAAGCGTTTTTGCCCTCTTCGAGTAAAATACGGTACATACAGAAAATTCGTGATAAATTTGAACCAGGCTCGTTTTATGATGTCAGACCATCGCTAACATAAAATTTAAAGCATGCAAATTAAGACTGGATAGACAATTTGAAGTTTTCTTGCAAGATTATGAGCTGAGATGCTACGCACATTATGGCGTCCTAACCGGGAGGTTCGGGCCACCCACCCCCGTTGATCCAAAATAAATAAAAAGATGCTTTCATTCAGTGTCATCTTCAATAGGTTTTATTTTTGTCGCGCAAGGTCGAAAATTTAACTTCAAATTTCATTCGCAAATAAAAATATTATTGATCTTATTTCATGGTGCATGATTGAGTTTACCAAAATACATATGGGCCCAAGTGACCTCCATTGAAGCAAGCTGTTGGCCGCTTATGCGGTTCCTGCAGGAACCGCATAAGCGGCCAACGGCTCTAAGAGAGATCAAGGTAGATACCAGCTACTAGTATTATTCTCATTGTCGAGAAAAGAATATGAAACATGGCACCGGCCCATACCTCCCGGGCCATGGCCCATACCTCCCGGTGTACAGGGCGTTGCAGGTAAATCCGACACTTGGAAAAAACGTGTTTATTCGAGTGCTATGCTCACGATGAAAAGCTTGGGCAGCATGTTACATCTCTATGATCAATTGCCTCCCCCAAAACACAAACACAGGATCGCCAACGGACGCCCCTACGTCTTCCAGCAAGAATCCGCCCCGGCGCACAAGGCCAGGACGACGCAGGCGTGGCTGCTCAACAACGTCCCTCACCACTGGTCGGCGGACTTGTGGCCGCCCTCCTCGCCTGGCTGCAACCCCCTCGATTATTTCTTCTGGGGCGTGATCGAGGCCAAGACCAACAAGCACGCACACAATACCGTCGACTCTCTCAAGGCCGCCATCGTGGCAGAGTTCGCCGCCGTAGACAAGGACACGGTCGCCAAGGCGTGCGAATCATTTCGCCCTCGGCTTGAGATCGTCGTCGCCGCCGACGGCGGTTACATCGAGTAGAAATGCAGCATATGACTCGAACTGGTGCTGACTAAAATGCCAGGCCTGTGTGTGCAATATTCATGCTTTCATTGCCGATTTCGTATTTTGCCTCTCAAGTGTCTGATTTATCTGCAACACCCTGTAATTTGATGGATCGAAAAAGCACTTGATTTAGTGAAAGTTATCTCGAGACAAAATAGTTTATTCCAGATGTCTAATATCAGGCACACGTTGCAGGCGAAAGTCAATTTCACGTACACAGAGTGAAAAACCGGGTCTAGCCACTGCCCACTGGAAGAAAATTGCCTTTTCACAAAACCGGCCCATACCTCCCGGGTCTCCCCTACTCATTTATAAAACTAGTTAGACGACTTTAAGCCCCAAAAGTTCATTTATCCAAATTTATCATTGACCTCTAATAAAACATAGTAAATACGAGTTCTTTCTTTATTTGAAATGCGTCAGTCCTGGGTCAGGTAGCACAATGTGCTATTAACCCTCGCCCTGGCAGGGGGGGTCGATGCGACCCCCCTAAGGTTTTTCGAAGATAGCGTAAAAACGGCGGCGCGCAGCGCCGCCAAATTTGGCACAGCCTATGGGGCAACCTTTTTACATATGACCTGAAAATTTCAGGTCCGGGTGACCTTGGGTCAGGTCACCAGGTCAGAAAAACTGGTACAAGGTCATGGTCAAATTTCAATTTTCTGTTTGCACCTGTCCAACTAACAGTTTTCGACCGATTTCCTTCAAACTTTCAGGATGTGCTAAGTTCACCGAGTTGTATAACATATAGTCCGGTTTTTTTAGGTCACTGACCTGAGGTCAGTTAGAGGTCATTACGTCGTAATGTTAAGCCTATGGGAAAATACTAACCCTCGCCCGTAAACGGTGTTTTGCCACCTTCGCCCATGCAGGGGGGGGGGGGTGCGACCCCCCCCCTGGCGTTTGAAAACGAAGCGTCGTAGAGCTTAGCGGAAAAGACCAATGGATTGCTCTCAGCGAGATCTCGCTATTGGTGGTATATTTTTTGGTCCTAGGTCAACATTTGACCTACTTATGACCGGTCAAAGGTCAAATTTCCGGAAAAATCTAACCTTTTCAGATTTCCGCGCCGATTGCGGCAAAACGGTAAAAGATATCGACTTGAAACCTTCACTATCGTGATCCTTGATCAATTCTCTATCGTTTGGTGTGTATTTCGATGTCATACCTCTAAAAATGATGCGTTGGGAGCATCGGAAGTCTGCAAGGTCATTTGTGCATTGGGTCACGTCAGGCGTGTGACGTCACTGACCTGACCCTGACCCAAAATGAACTACAAGAAAAAACCGACGATGCCTGAAATGGATAGCAAATTCGAATTCAGGGCATCAAAATACCCCGAAAAGGCACACAAGTGCAAGAAGTCATTACAGGTCAACCGAGGTCACTGACCTTACCTTGACCTTTAGTGACCTTCAAAATGTCAACGGACATTGTGCTAATGTCAAATCAGCCAGTTGTGATTCTAAAACAATCCATCAGTGCGTCAGGTCAGTCGGCATTTATACCAATGTGAAGCAATCGCCAATTTAGCGAAAATCTGGCCGGAGGTTGTTCCCTTTATGACGTCATAACTCCGTGACCTGGCATGACCTTGACAAAAAAAGTTACCAAAAGTTGCGCAAAGGATGCCCCAAAGGGTACTGAAAATTTGAGCAGGCTATCTGAAACGGTTCGGCGTGTAGCTAAGAAAAACCTCAGGGGGGGTTGCACCAACCCCCCCCCCACATCGGCGAGGGCTAAATTCGGAAAATACTGGAGATATCCGCTTCGTTTTATCACTTTTGTGCTTTGAAACCACGGTACTTAACAGCAGGTCACTTGGTGCTTCTTTGTTTGGTGTACTTATCCATGGGTCAGGTCAAATGAGGTCAACTGAGGTCAAATGACGTTTTTTTCCAGTAACTTGGCACATAATGACGCTAGAGCTTAAAAAATGGTATCATTGTGTTCCTGCTGATGAGCCGAATCAAATGATATGCGATATGATGCAATTTGGGTAACTTGAACTTAATTTATGAAGTTAAGTTTACTTAAAATTTAAGAAAAACTTTAAGTACACTTAAGCAAGCTAAAAAGTATATCATTGGACGCACCTTGACGTGCTGAGTTCACTGGTGCTTTTCTTTTTGCTCTATCTTAATTAGATCAAAAGTTATAAGCGAAAAACTTTTGACCTGTTTTTAGCAAAATTTTTACATTCATACCCCCCAAAAAAACCCTAAATATTGACCTAGAGCAACCAAATTTGCACAGGGGCGAGAACTCCGGGGGGCCCACCTACCTACCAAATTTGGTGTTTCTAGGTGCCATAGGAGCCAATCGCGAGGGGGGGGGGGGGGTCGCATCGACCCCCCCCCCCTGCCAGGCCGTGTTATGAAAAATGCCCTGCCAGGGCGAGGGTTAAATACCAAATAGCCCAAGTGGGTATTGTTACCCAAGGGTCTGCATTTTTCTACAAAATCCTTCAATATGGCAGCACGACAAAAATAGCACTCGAGCAGAAGCACGAAATGTTTGGATGAGTCCTAATTATGGCAAAAAACCTACTTCAGGACTATTGTCTGTCAAATAGGATAATTTTTCTTCTGCTAATTATACTAGAAAAAAGTATGAAACGTATTCATGAAACTTAAATTCGGAATTTTTCGCAAATCATCTAAATAAAACAATGCGGTGCACTGCTCATACCTGCAATTCTCTTGACGTCACGCTGCCAAAAGACAGTCAGCTGTCGCCCTAGACCTTTTCATATTTCTGATATCGGGGTGGGCGGTGTTCCACAAAGGGTGGTGTTTCCCCATTTTCCCCTAAAAGGCAAATTATTGAAAATCACCGATGGGGACTTGATTGTCTAACACATAATTTGCTATCTGAGGTCACTGATACCAGGTCAGTTCAAAGAGGTCACTGAGGGTCACACTATGAACTAGTGTTGTTTGATGCATGTTATATAGTCCATGTTACATGAAAAATGCGATTGTGTGGGCTAGGTGACCATTGGGGCCAGCTTAGGTGAAGGTCAGGTGAGGGGGGTTGATACAGCCCCCTAACGTTTTTCGCAAATAACCCACGTAAAAAGCGGCCGATCGCAACGAAACTTTCAGTACCCTCGCGTTAATCAATTGTACACCTACCCTAAAAGTTGTATGACCCTGACCCAAATGACCTTTGACCTGTAGCCTACTTTTCGAGACCATGTTTGGCCGGAATCGCGATTTAGCGTATGTCGGCTCGCATTAGCCGCGCGTTTGCAGTCTTTTCGTGGTTTCAAGCGTCAAAACATGTGATTTGATGTTGATCCCATACATTAGGGTGATGTCAAGGTCAATGTCAGGTCATTGACACTTGATGACCTCGTTTCATTTTTTTTTTTTAGTTTTCCAGCTTGCTAGGCTAGTTTTTGGAGCTGAATTCGAATTTAACAACCATTTGAACATTTACAAAGTAGTTCTGGTGCCTTCGTATTTCGTAACATGTTACAAAGCTGTCAGAGGCGTTTGAAACGCAATACGACTACCCGGAAGGACCCTACTTGTTGACCTGATCAGGCCTCACCCGACCTGGCCTAAATGCATAGACATCATCTGTGATCAAAATTAGCATGATATTCGTGATTAGCACCCCGAAAAAAGCATATCAGCCACACTACGACGTTCTAACAGGTTCCGATTTTTTCCGACTTTTGGGTCATTGACCTGACCTGGAAGGTCAACCTTTCTTGGTCGAAAATGGCAGAACATGACATCATTCTGCCGTCATGTATGGCCAATCTATCATAACTATTGGAAATATTTTTGGTCACAACATGTAAAATTATTGTAAAATTTTAAGTGCTCATGCATCTGTCAGTGTCCCTCCAACATATGTAAATACCAGGATTTCTCCATCCGATCGTACGCTGCCGCAAAAATGGAAAAAAGTCAGCCGTCAGCCAACCGGAAGGCCAACTAACAGCAGGTCACGCCGTCATAGCCGACTCGTGTCTCCAGTGGGCAAGTCGCGGGCGCGGAGCAGAACACGCTGATGAATGGGTGGCGTCACTGTAACCGTTACGGCGCCAGGTCGGGCGACCGCCGCCCGCCTCCCGAGCGCCGAGGGCGCCGCTCTGGTGACCCGGGCGCCCGCCGGCAGGTGACGGTCCAACTCACCTGTGGACCAAGCCGTCCTCCTCCTTCACGGTGCAGTCGACCTCCTCGGACGCCGGGCTCCATCGGTCGCCCACACAGCGGATCTCTGAGATCGCTCCGGGGCCGAAACTGGCCCTGGCACAGCCGGTGGTGGGCAGCGCGTCGAGCCACCGCAGCAGCCCCAGCAGTACGCAGAGACACAGCACGACCTGCATGGCTGCCACTGACCCGGCCTCCGTCCCCGCCGGCTGCCGCGGCCCGAACTGCCGGCGGCGCGGCGCCCCGGGCGGCCGCGGCCCAGAGGCGGCGCGCGCACCGGCCTGGGCCGTCTGTTTGGGCGCCCCGGCTGCACGCTCGGCCCGGCACGGTCCGCTCTGTGAGCGATCAGATGTGGCATCTGATCACTCACGAGCGGCCCGGCCGCTGTGGCATATACTCCCAGATCCACGGTCTGCCTCTGCTCATATGGCGTTCATTCTGGGCTGTTCCTTCCTGTCTTCATCTCGGGCATGAGCAAATTAATTATAATAATGATAATAAACCGAGTAGGTATGTGTAGTATAAAGCAAGCGAATAAATAGCAAACCCTGTTCCTTCACTAATATGTAATGTCGCAACGCAAGAAACTTCGCCTGCGTGTTAGTGCATCCCACTTTCGTCCCGATACAGCTCGTTATTTAATTAACGGTAGATAATGTGATGACAAAAAACGTTCTTGCCGTTTTTATTTCTTCGGCACTGGCCCTTCGAATAGTCGGCGGCACAGGTTAACCCTTGCCGGCACAGGGGGGGGGGGATGCATCACCCTTAAGGTTTTTCGCAAATAACGCGCGTGAAAAGTTGCCGATCGCAACGAAACTCTCAATATCCTCGCGTTGACCAATTGTACACCTAACCTGAAAATTGCATGACCCTGACTCAAATGACCTTTGACCTGTGACCTAGGTACTATTCGAGACTATGTTTGGCCGGAATCGCGTATCGGCGTATGTCGGCTCGCATTAGCCGCGCGTTTGCAGTCTTTTCCTGGTTTCAAGCGTTCAAACATGTGATTTGATATTGCTTCCATGCATTAGGGTGTATGTCAAGGCCACCGGAAGGTCAGGTCAGGTCATTGACCTTTGATGACATCGGCTCACTTTTTCCAGTTTTGCATGCTAGTTTTTGAAGCTGAATTCGAACTTAGCAACCATTTGAACATTTACGAGGTCGTTTTGGTGCCTTCGTAGCATGTTACGAAGCTGTCAGTGGTGGTTGACACCTGCTATGAATATCCTTGTGCTGCCTACTTGTTGACCTGACCTGACCTGAACCGACCTGGCCTAAATGCATGAATACATTATCTGTGATCAAAACTACAGGGTGATTTTTTTTACTTGTTAAAAAGTAATGAAGTCTAGTGGCATTAAAATATAAATATATATTGCAAAATTATATACCAGGATGACAAGCATTCTGGGACATTTTGATTTCATGCAGACACGATGTGAAGGAACGTCCATCGTGTATTTTACTTGTGCTTGAAGTTGCCCCCTCTCTCACCGACACGAATCAGCCCGCCTGAGCACGTGTTGAACAGCACCGTGGACTCCTAGACCCTTTAGGCGGACTGAAAAGGCTCCTATCACCCATTTTTAGCTCTGCCAGATATTTCCAATGTTTTCTTGTTATATCTGCCATAGCTGGGTCCAAAAACTAGAAGTCTATGAAGGGCAGGTCGAGGATTTCGTTACTGGCAGCCCTGGTGGTGTCTGATTCGCTGTTTTTCTTTCTCCCTGAAGACTGATTCTTCAGAGGCTGCACATACGCTAGATGGACCATTTGAAGGTTATTTATGACTACAAGCTTGTTCGTGCATTATTTAACGTCTTTCTGGGATATCTCCTCGATGATCGCATGCTTCGAACTGCCTCAATGCTTCAAAATCATCGTTTTGTGTCGTTCCTTACTGAACGGCGGTGGACCATGCGTGCCCGATTGGTGGGACATTTTCAGGCACCACACTGAGAAACACTCAAGCCTATCCATGGTTCTCGGAGACCATGCAGGGGTCGTTCTGGTCTTGTATGAGAGCCTCAATTGGGGAGAACTTTGTTTACAGTTGTTGGTCTCCAGTTTGGTAAAGTTCTCAGGTTTTTCCCGTAACGTTCTCGAGTGAGAATGGTGTGCTATCTTGAACGAGAACTTTGCCCGGATAAGGTACTCTTATACTGCGGGATGATCTCCCATGAGAACCTTTACCAGGTCATGAGATCATAAACGAACACCATTCCCGCTCATAATATGATCCTGTATGGTCTCCGAGAACTTTACAACTTAAGAGCGCCGGCTTTCCTGGCACGGCATTCGCGCTCACGACCCATTCCCCCCTCTTCCCTCCCTGTAGAGCGCCAGCTTTTCATGGCACAGCATCCGCGTTCTCGATCCTTCCCATTCCATCCATGCACAAACAAGGTAAAGAACAGGCATGTATATTTATTGTGTCAGATGTCAAAAAACTCACTCTGGAACAGAACATGCGATGCAGTCATTCGATGCGAACATTTTGTTTCAAAAGCTGCCCAAACCCTTTCGCTTGCCGCCCCAGTCAGTACCAACCAGCGTGCTGAGTTTCAACTGTGTCGTTTAGCAAGAGACCATAATATCTCCCGGTGCACGACAGCTCAGTCCCTTTACTTTACTTTTAACACGGAATGCAGGTAGGTAAGTGCAAAAATGCATGTCAAGCGGCGTTCCCCACGGTCCACAGACTGTGCGAACGATGTACAATTCAAACACTGTTAAGTACAGGCACGTACAATAGTTACACAGGCACAGACATTAAAAAGTTAATACAGGTAAAATGTATGGGCTGGCATGTGAACACTACCGACGGCAGTCCATGTGAGACCGAAGTCTAGCCATAGGAGCGGCGGAGGCGACGACAGCCGGTTGGCCGCTAGACAGTTTGCGCAGCTGGTAGCTGCATCTGGCTGGGGAGGAGCTATTCCAGCATGGCAGCCTGCTGACTGCTGAACCATGAGCGCCATCAGACGCTCCAGCTGCTCGTTGTCTCCCATCACCGGTACGAGCGATCCGACACGACGGTGTTAACTTATGTGCGTCTCTGACGCGGTGTCGCGCACAGGGTCAACCTCACTCGCGTACTGGCCACGCATATTATCGATTACACCACTATTTCACTATTTCACTGTGGCCGGACCTTCTCGGCGAACACGCCTCACCTCACCTCGCGGCACTCAGCTGTGTTGACAGTTGACACCAGCGCCGCTCGGACGATACTGACCCTCGGCCGCTCGGCCCGGCCCGGCCGGTCAAGGTCGTTCAAGGTCACGGCTGTCAAGACGCGACACGCGTGACCCAGGGCCAGGACACAACAGGGACATTTTGGCGTTGTGCCCGATGAGTTGCCTCACTTCGGTGTCCAACATTGAGAGCATTGTCTCTACGGCTTCTTGCTCTGAAAGGGAGAGTAAGACAAATATTAGAGAAACGGCAGAAACGCTTAATTTCTGAGCCATATCCTCAAAGCACACGAATTGGTATTTAAGCAGATTTTGCTAACACTGGCAAACAGATGGCAATCGCAACCTATATCCCAAAAATGGGCAATGGCACACAGATTTTGCCACCTCCCAGAGTACCTAAGTAATTACCTTTGCTGTGGTTACTTTCAAGCTGTTAAGTGCACACAAAGAGTACAGAAAACAAACTCACCATGAGACGTTCGCGCTGTGCGCCAGACACCAACTCGCGAAAGGAACAACCACGCTGCCGGCAGCCTTCGCAGTGCTTTCGAGAAAGGAGGGACCGGAAGCACTGAGGCATTATAGAGATGTTCCTTAGGGATATCCATTTGAATTGGTTTGAACTGTTAAAATCGATAAACATCGTGTCATATAGTAAGGCTCTTTTTCATTAAAAATTATTTCTTCTACTGAAAAATACATGTTTTATTTTTATCAATAATTGCTATTTTCCTAAGCGAAAATGGAATCGCAGCACTTCAAACTGCTCTACTCTTAACACAGCGCCACCTACGCCTTTAGTTTCCTTCTGTGCTGACATCTGTCGTCAAAACACGTCAGCTGCGAGAACTATTAGGAAAAAAGTGAGTTTACCATCCTTTCTGACCGAATGACTGCTGGTTCGAATCTCACCGCAGACCGACTGTTTGCGTTACACGGGTAGCTAGACAACTTCCAGTACTAAACTATCTCGGTCAAGACCAAATCCACTCCTGAAACCGAAGTGGAGACCATGCACAGTTCTCGGGAAAGACCAATTCCTCAAAGCGGCAAAATGGAAACCATCGAAGGTACTCAGGTGAGTACTATCAGTATAAGTTCTAAAATGTGTTTCTCAGTGCATTGGAGCCGAGGCCTTCGGTTAAAAGGGACAAATCATGACACCATACAAAATGTCCCAGATTTATCTATCACGTGCATTGCTTTTTTGCACGCGATTTTTCGATTTAGGGACCACCATTGACATTTACTTTTTAACAGTTAAAAAAAATCACCCTGTACATGAAAGTCGTGATCAGCACCCCGAAAACCCCGTAACACCACCACCTCACGAAGTTCTAGCAAGTCCCGATTTCCTCGACTTTTGGGTCATTGACCTGAACTGGAAGGTCAACAAATGAGCTAGAACTATAAAATTGGGTATCATCGGCATCCTCTCATCACGGGAAATACGCTCGCTTTTCCACGACGCTCTAGCTTTATCAGGGGCCGAACGGCAAGGGGGTCCGACAGAGCCCCTCTCCACTATAGGTTTGTACTTTGTACGTTCGCGGCTGGCAAAACAGCAATGCGGGCGAGGGTTGTAGTATGAAATGTTCTGAATTGTTGAAACGTTTTGACTTTCGAAGTTAGTTTTTTTAGTATTTTTCCAAATGATTTGGCTAATATTTGGTTTGGTAAGGGTTTCCTAATTAGGTAGGCCTGTCTGCACTGGCGGATCCAGACTTGCGTTTTGGGGGGGCCAATTCCTGCAAGTAACCAAACCTAGGGTACCCCCAAATCCTGTTTTCTCATCGGATTTAGGCCACTTATTTTTTCGTCACAGCCCTGAAACGATATTTTTTTAAACTAAAAATAAAAAAAAAATATAGAAATGGTAGCCCACCCAACCCGAGCCTAAATATTACTTTGAAAACACTTCAAATTGCTTTTGTCGACCAATTAGCCCGCTCCGGGTCGGTGCGTGGCGCAGCCTTCGCGGGCTGGGAGGTGTCGGTTGGACCCCCTGCCGTTCGGCCCCTGATTAAGCAAGAGCTCGCGGAAAAAAAACAGGCGTGTTGCCCGTGAGTGACGAGACGAAGCCGATGATACCCGATTTTAAGGTCCTTGGTCATTGGTTGACCTTCCAGGGCGGTGTTTCACGGTCGTGCTGACAGCCGCTGACAGCGCATTCCGCGAGCTAAGGTCAGCCTTCGGTAGTGTTGTGGGTATAGGCTTGTTGATGTCTCCATTGAAACCAAAAGTGCCATCAGCGCTGGCAGCGGCTGGCAGCGTGCCGTGAAACACCGCCCAGGTCAGGTCACAGACCCAAAAGACGGAAAAATCAGGACCTGTCAGAACCTCCTAAAGTAAGGCTGTAATACGTTTTTTTTTGTGCTGATCACAAATTTCATGTTAGTTTGGATCATAGATAATGTCTTCATGCGTTTAGACCATGTCAGGGCAGGTCAGGTCAGATCAACCAGTAGGAGTACTTATGGGCGTCCGTATAGCAGGTGTCCACTACCACTGGCAGCTACGTAACATGATATGAAGGCATCAAAACTACTTCGTAAATGTTCAAATGGCTGCAAAATGCTAAATTCAAAATCAGCTAAACGAAACTATCCTAGAAACATGTTAAACTCGGAAAAGTGCACCAAGGTCATCAAAGGTCAATAACCTGACTTGACCGTAAGGTGACATTGGCATCCGCCCTAATGCGTGGGAGCAACATCATATCACATGTTTGAGCGTTTTAAACCACGAAAAGACTATGAAAGCGCGGATAATGTGAGCCGACATACGCCGAATCGCTATTCCGGCCAAACATGGCCTCCAACATGGCCAAACATATGGTGCGTTCGGAGAGGCACATTCCACGTGGAATCCGTTGAATATTCCATGCGCGCGGAATATTTCCGAAGATTAGCCGTTCAGAGAGATACGCCTCCGAACGCGGCACGGGGAATATTCCCGGGGACGGTGAATATTCCATGCTCTCCGAACGCACGGATAGTCTCGAGAAATAGGCCACAAGTCAAAGTTCACTTGGGTCAGGGTCATGAAATTTTCAGACTTTGTCACCATGAGGGTACTAAAGTTTCGTCGCGATCGGCTTCATGATACCTTACACGATAACTTCACACGTCGATCGAGAGTTAAAGCATGGATGAAGGAGAACCAGGGGATGAAGGTTCTTTCATCCATGGTTAAAGTGTGCAATAAGAACTTCTTGGGTGAAGACAAGACCAACACTTTTATCAAGCTCACAGATTTTTAATGATACGGTATTTTCTCTCTACCTACTACGCCCTTCTCACATTCATTTTTCTTAAGTGTTTTTGGGGACAAAAAATATATGTTGTTCCCCTTTCAGGCTTGGGGGCATGACCCCGTGGCCCCCCTGGATCCGCTAGGCCGAAACTAACTAGGTCGTTTTCAAACGGTCTGATATTTCAGGTCATAGTTTGCAAACGGCCGGTGTTTTCAGGTAGTTTCATATGGCCTGACTGGGCCAGGCCGTTTGCAAACGGACCGAATTTTCATACGGCCTGTAACATATATTCAGATTTCGACATCTGTCGTAGCATCAAATGCTGATGTGGCGCACTCAAAAGCCGGAATTGGTCCTTGGATGCCGTAAGGACCCTTTTAAGAAATAAGTGACCCGACTGACCCTTAGAGATTGGCCTGAGCTGTGACCGAAATAAGTCTTTTACCGTTTCGCAGGAAGGGACAAAAAGGTCCCTCATATGCTTCTTGTACAATTACGAAACAAAACAAGTTTTTTTTTCAACGAAAACTCAGTGAGTTTTCCTAAAAAATTTATTGCGCATATTCCGTGAATGAAAAGTTGCCGGGTCATGTCAGGTCAGGCTGCCACAGCAAGTTTGTTAACTTGACAGCTCAATCGATATTTATGCAATAAGACCTTCTCGGGTGACGATAAGACATGACGACACTTTATGAAGGAAGCTAGTAAACCCGGTAGTTTCTCCATAGGCGCGGGAACCGGGGGGAGGGGGCAGTGGTGGCAGCTTGCCCCCCCCCCCCCAACTCTGGGGCCGTGCGGGCGGTGCCCCCACAACTTTCAGACAGAATACCGCTCCTTTTTGCAAATGTTTTCTTTTTTGTTGAAAAAGCCAAGGGATGAAAAATAAGTGGCCTAAAACCGGCGACAAAACTATATTTGGGGGATCCTAGGTTGATCTCTATCATGGTGTGACCTCCCCCCCCCCCCCCCGTCTAAAAGTAGTTCCCGCGCCCCTGGGTTTCTCTACGCTATTGAATCACGCTGCTGATTCTAGTAAGTATCTACTACACAACCTTCTCACATTAATTTTTCTTCGAGCGTTTTGGGGGGCCAAAAGATTGTTGGCCCCCTCTTTCAGGCTTTTTGGGCCCATGGCCCCGGTGGCCCCCTTGAATCCGCCAGCGGGGGCGGTGCCCCCACAACTTTCAAACGGAATACCGTCCTTTTTTGCAATTGTTTTCTTTTTTTGTTGTTGAAAAAGCCAAGGGATGAAAAATAAGTGGCCTAAAGCCGGTGAGAAAACTAGATTTGGGGGGACCCTAGGTTGATCTCTATTATGGTGTGCTCCCCCAGTCTGAAAGTAGTTCCCGCGCCCCTGACTTTCTCTGCGCTATTGAATCACGCTGCTGATTATAGTATCTACTACGCAACCTTCTCACATTAATTTTTCTCCAAGCGTTTTGGGGGGGGCCAAAAGATATGTTGGCCCCCCCCCTTTCAAGCTTTTGGGGGGGGGGGCCATGGCCCCGGTGGCCCCCCCCCCCCCCCTGGATCCGCCAGTGCCTGTCTGTAATTGACAAAACAAGTTTTGATGGATGTCCGGCATTCTTATGTCGGGTACCTTGCTCCTTGGCGTTATCTAGGATTCAGGCTTCAAAGTGTGTGCACTCCATGACCTCATTGCAGCTGGTCGCTCACGCCCACCGGAGCAGCGCGGTCACAGCTCAGCGGAGGCCGGAGCTCAGCTGCCGCCTGAGCTGCCGCGACACTAGCGCCACCCACCGGCCTGCCACCTAGCGCAGTAGAAAGGAACTACTGACTCCGACAGGGCGCATCGGTGCTTGGCACCGGAGGAAGGCTTCGCACTAGCCGATAGCATAGATAACATGAACACTGAACAGGTAGTTCACGTTATTTATGCCAAAAGCTTTCACACCAAATCGAGGCACCCTCGACATGTATTATGCATTGAGCAGCTCTGCGACCATTTTTGGCGACGTTATTTGCCTCAAAACAAACGCCTACCCTACGGCACTCATAGACGCATGACCTCATAGGTCACCCGTTGGCTTGAAACATCAAAGTCAAATCACTGCTTCTCCTACCGGTGCACGCATACCGTTTCGGCATTTTCTATCCTCAGGAGATTTGAGTTCGTCCCTAGATCTAAAATTCCCTGATCCGGGCTGGACGGTCATCTTCATCCGACATGTGTTGGTTCTCGGGAACAGGCCTATCGTGTGTTGGGGTGACCGTTTGTGGGGCTGGTTGGCTTGTCCACGTGATGGGCTCAGCCCCGGCTGTGCACCAGCGCCTGCTCGTGAGCAGACTAATGACTCCTCCTAAATCCTATCACATCTTCTGGTCTGAAAATGTCTCGTTAGACGGAGAGGGCCTCATCCTAAAAAATGATAATAACGGCGCAAAAGCTTGTTTTTTCCCGCGATCCTCGAGCTCAGTTAGGAACGAAGTGGCTAGGTGTGTCTCATCCCATCCCCCTCTTGACCGTACCCACGAACATTTTATGAACGCTCATGAGCTGTCCGCTGTATATATTATAAAAAAACAAAATCATTTAAATTCGGCCGATGATGTGTCTTGTTAGTGAACCCGTCTGTTTCTGAGCAGTGGGCCGATGGAGCCCCGCACAGCCCGTCCCGGGGCCGGTCGGTGGCGAACGCCGCCGCAGAGCTATGGATCGGCGCGCGCTGGCGGCGGGGGCGGCGGCGGTGACCGCTCCGCCGCCGCCGCCGGCGCCACTCGCCACTGACGCTCGGCGCCGCTCGGACCGCCCCGTCAGCGGCGATGACGGCCGCGGTGCTGACGCCAGAGGAGCGTCCGTCCCTCTGCGAGGTATGGCGGCGCGCCGCGGCCCAGTTCGCCTCCGATACGAACCTGGCCGGCGTGAACAACGCCAGCCGCGCGCGCCACCCGCTGCGCCGGCTGGTCTGGTGCTCCCTCTGGCTGACCGGCCTGGTCGTGTCGCTGAACGATGTCAGCCTGCTGGTCAGTGACTTCCTGACCTACCCGGTGTCCACCTCCTACTCGATCGCCTACGACAGCGCCGTCACCTTTCCGGCCGTCACCGTCTGCAATCAGAACAGCGTCATGTGCACCGACCTGATGCAGCAGCTGTTCGCAGAGCCCGACGACTCCCTGATCCTGGATCTCGTCCAGAGATCGGCGTGCCTCTCACTCATTCCGGGCCTGTGCATGCCTATGAAGCTGATGTTCTTCGAGTTGGGCACGCTTCCCAGCCTGCTGCAGAATACGAGCTGTTTCCAGTTATCGAGCGGGATATGCAGTGAGCTGGAAGAGTTTGGTGAACAGAATTCAGTCAACATCAGTGCACATCTCGCTGAGCTGGGCTGCGGAAGCGAGACCCCTGGGGACAGTGCCGCGTCGTCCGAGCCTCTGGCGGCGCTGGAAATTGGTAACGGTAGCGCTCAGGGATCCGAGGAAAGCAGCAAACTACGCCAGAAGAGGAGCATGCAAAGACGGTGGTGGAATGAACTAGTAGCACAGGTAACGGGAGCGCTTTAATAACTTATTTATACGGTATTGAGTAGAATATGAAGAAACAGAGCTTATGTATAGGTTTTACTTTTATTTTAGAATTTCCATTCTTCATTGGTTTGTTCGAACTGTCGACTGTCTAACAAGTCGTTCAAGAGTTACAACCGAAAAGAATAGCCAAACCTTTCAACTGATACGTGTTCAGCATTGATGGGATATGGGCTCAGCGATTTTCCTTCTTTCTAGGAAAGAACGGCAAGTAATCGAAGAAAGAGAGAGCTCGGTGCTTCGGAATATGAACAACCAGAGTAAGCAGGCAGTTAGCTAAATGAAAAGTTTATCATTTAGCGTAATAACTGGTCAGCCAAGCACTATGTGCATTGTGCATATGACAGTTACTTTCCATTTTCCAACTAGTTTGAAATGCACAATTCGGGTTAGGGCCACATATGTAGGCGCCTAATAAAAGCAACGTTATCTGCGATATGTGCCTACGGGAAGCCAATTCAATATGATTTTTCAGCAATATGTTATTGAACATTGGAAAGGGCCGCCACACAATTAGCATACGAGTGATAACTTTTTATTTATTTCAACGTGAGATTTTGTGGGGCTGAGCCCTGATTCGTACTTTTCAGGATGGGAGTCGACGCCGACTATGACAAAAGAAGAGGATTTTACCGCAGTTTCATGAATGTTTCGCTGGGGACGAGGCTGGAGATGGGGCAGAGTCTCAATTCGCTCATCAAGAGCTGCACCTTCAACGGACGGGACTGTCTGAATCCAGAGTAAGAACTCAGAACGGCGCTAGACTAGAACCTAGAGGTATACTCGTTATCAGCTACGACCAAGGAAATATACTGCATCAAAATGCGCTAAACAATGTTAGTTTAAATTCCAAGCTAAGAGTAAATTCAGTCATAAGGAGAACTTAGTAGCTGATCGACGTATTCAAAGAGGGTACCAACTTCTCAGCGATTATAAAATTGTGGTATTCAGCCATCAGCTCGATTTAGCCACCCGCATAAGATCTTAATGGGGGCACCTTGCAGGTTTTTCGGCGTGCTCTCGACGCCCGAGTACGGCAACTGTTTCACCTTTAACTCCAACATCAGCTCTGCGGCGGACCGCGAGGCCGGTCAGCGGGTCGCCAGTATGGTAGGACCCAACACCGGTGAGAGCGACTCTGAAGGGCAGCCGTCCTGACGGAATTGGAGCATTGTATTGACGGAATTGAGAATACCACAACAGTATTGTAAATTAACGCATTTTAGCGTTTACAAAACATATTTTTGTGGCAAATGTCATTTAAAGCATCAATAATTTTGCAACAGGTAACCTTATAAGGGAATTATGATGTGTTGACAGCAAAACATAGCGAGGCTTAAGGATCGAATAGTATGCTTGAACTACTTTTTGGCAGCCTGACCTCTACGGAGATAAGTATTCTAATTTCTAATGCGAGAGGACAGAGGCTTTTGCTCGACTTTTCTCGGTTCTGGCGTCGCTGATCGACTCTCCCTCTCTCCCTCTCTCTCTCTCTCTCTCTCTCTCTCTCTCTCTCTCTCTAACTCTCTCTCTCTCTCTCTCTCTCTCTCTCTCTCTCTCTCTCTCTCTCTCTCTCTCTCTCTCTCTCTCTCTCTCTCTCTCTCTCTCCCTCTCTCCCCGCAGGTCTCAGTCTGGTGCTGTTCGTCGACACCAACAACTACATGCCGTCGACGGTGTCACAGACGCGAGGTGCGCGCGTGGCCATCCACCCCAGCGACGTGACGCCGCTGATGGCCGAGACCGGCATGGAGGTCAGCCCGACCAGCCTCACTTCCATCTCCATCACTGAGGTGAGCGAATCTCACCCCCGACCGGCACCACACCAACCAGTCTCACATCAAACTCAATATCCATCACTGAAGCCCGATCAATGTCATTTTGCAATGTACATAATAGCAAAGGAGAAGATCCACTCCATTTTAGTTTAGAAGACGCACACAAGTTATGCTTGATTATCTTCTAGCTCTCAATGGGAAAACAAGAACAGGTGTAAAGTATTTCATAAGAACAAATGACGTTGGAAGCAGACACGTATTGTCCTTCGAATGGTTACTTGCGAAAGAAAGCAAATAAATGCACGGTCAAAACAGTGAAAGTCCTTGTAATCTCGTCGCTCCATATGACAATTGTACGTGTTGAGACTCGAGTGTGCCAACTGTACGTTGACCATACCGATGTCCGACAGACCCGTATCGTCCGCATGCCGTATCCGTACACGTCTCACTGTATCTCGACGTGGGCTGACTCTGGTCTGGAGCCGTACGGAGTCGATCCGACCACCGGAGTCGTCGGTCCCAGCCAGGCGCGCTACACGCTCGCGGTGAGACGCCTGACACACGCACCGTTAAACACTGCACAGTGCACACTGAACACTACACAATGCACAGTGCATACTACACGGTGTACACTGGACACGGCACAGTGCACACTGAACACTGCACAGTGCACATCTGGTCTCAGCTGGGCGCGCTATTCTCGCGGTGAGTGGTCTCAGAACACACCTAATTCAATATACCCTGCATCAGTTGTACTTACAGTTACACATACACACCTATGTGACATGACACGTGCATATCAGTCTGAGCGCCCGCGCTCGGTGAATTTGTATGTACCACCACGTCAGGCGTCTAACTAGTCGATCTCACGGTGTTTGTAGGAATCTTGACTTCTCCTTCTCGCTCGGAGACAAAGGGCGCTCAGGGCTGCGCCTCCTCCACCAGTCAATTAGTTCTGAGCGTTGCTTTGTCTCTTTGAAATGTCACTTGAACGTTGTTTCTACATACTCTGATTTTAGATTAATTATGCCCGGGCACACAAAGCTCTTGGATGGATGAAGTTCTTCATCCATCTAAGGGCTTTGTGTGCCATCTTCGTCTTCTTCATCATCTTCATCATATATTCTTCAACTTCTTCATCATTCATCCATCACTTCAACGTCTGCACCGAGATATTGCTATCCAGCTGCATTTTATCTATTCCATGTATTTGCAGGAGTGTAACAGGATGTGCCTGCAGCACCACCTGGTGAAGAACTGCGGCTGCCACGACCCGCTGTACCCGCTGGAGTTCACTGTGGACGGCGAGCTGCAGGACGTGGGACCCGCCTGCGACCTCTCCTTCGGCAGTGAGTGAGACCCGGGCGGCGCCCTCAGCGGCGCGCGCCCCGGGTGACTAAATCTGATTGTTGATAATAGCACAGCCGGGTGTGTGACTATCGCATTTGTGGCAGCTTTGGGGCAGAAGCCGGAACGTCGTAACTAGTTTGCTCGGCATAGTTTGCTCGGCAGCCCTTGACAATGTCCATAATTTTGCTTACGCGTGAGCAAAATGAGCGATTTTCTGTACTTTACTTCTGCCGTGGATTTCAGCAGCTCGTTATAAGTAATTGCTAGTGGTATCAGAAAAGTATAATTCGTTTCTTTTTCTTTGGCATGCTATTCTCAATCGTTTCTAATTCCAGATTACCCTCATAAGTTATGAATAAACATATTTCAGAAACAACTGTAATTATGCTTCCTGGAGGACGTCCCATGCAGGCAACAGGTTAGTAGCCTTATGTATATTTGTATTGTTTCATGTTGTTTGCAGCGGTGGACTCTGGATGCTCGACAAACGTGACTGAGGCGCTGGCCCTGTCCAGATCGGAGTACTGCACCTGCTCCAGCCCCTGCTAGTGAGTCAGACCCCGTTCACACAGCCCCTGCTATGTAGTGAGTCAGACCCCGTTCACACAGCCCCTGCTAGTGAGTCAGACCCCGTTCACACAGCCCCTGCTAGTGAGTCAGACCCCGTTCATTCCATGATCAGCTGTTCAATAAAAATTGACATTGATAAATAACTTGAAAATTGTGCAAGGAAGCACATCGACGGACGTTGGCAGTTAGCACTTCATTTCTTATTTGTTATTGACGCCGATTGCCTTACACACGAACTAAGGCATTTAGCAAATATGTTCTGCCATTGCCGGGTAAACCGTTTCCCGTCTGTTCTTTTTCAGTGAAACAGTGTACGAGCCGCAGCCTTCGGTAGCCTCGTGGCCTCAGGGTGAATACCTGGGCACCCTCCTCGAGAAGCTCGACTTTCTGCAGCACACGAACTTCACCACCGCAGAGATCGCCGAGGCCTGGGGCAGCGAGTTCGTCAAGCTGAACGTCTACTTTCGTGACCTCAACATCGCCTCAATCACGGAGAGCGCCACGTACACGGTAAGTACCAAAGTATAGAGACCAATGTAAGTACGTACGTACAATGTAAGTAAGTACACTGAGAGCACGCCGCCAACACACTGCCAAAGTGTCGGGATCGCTGCTGTTTCTATGGAAGCTTGTCGGCGATACCGGGTAGTGTTGGGAATCTGCGTGCCGTGAAACATGACCCCGCTGTATTCGAGGAGGCGCTAAACTGGATACATGTGCACTGGCAGGGCGCCCATTTGCACTTTAATCCTATGTGAATGGCCCCTTGTTGCAGTACTCGACGTTCATCAGCAGCCTGGGCGGCGCTCTCTCCCTCTACCTCGGTATTGCTCTCATCCTGCTGGTAGAGTTGGTGGAGCTGCTGGTTTTCCTGGCGTGGGACACGGCCCGCTTCATGTGCGGCTACTACCCCCTCGACGGCCACTCTAGCAGCCAGGTGGTGCCCGGTAAGATTTCACCCAACACCCTGCGCCGGATGCTCATTGTCCTCGTGATGGGCTCAGCCCCGACGACTCACCAGGATGCCCGCCCAGACCAATGTCTCTCCCTAATTCCCATCATCCTTGAGGCTCTGCAATTATCTTATTAGACCGAAAGGGCCTACCCCAACAAATCAAACAATTAAATATTTCACATGTGTCATTTACCATGTCACTTTTACTTTTGTTCGACATTTGCATGTTTGTAATTCAGATTCTTCCCCTTTCAGCGGAGAAGCGAGCCGTGCGGGTTGTTTTCACAGCCCCGGAGAACAAGTTTGCAAACAAGCTACACACCAGCCATCAAATGATGGAGACGCCTGCAACTCAAATAGAATAACTCTGACCAGGACCTTATCCGATCCAATTATAAGACAATCTACCTCGTATTGGGCAGTACGGATAATTTTGGTGAAACGAAAATAGCTCGTAAGGTGATGACAACTGTGCCTTATTCAAGCTCAGATTATTGTAAACTAATGTTCAACACAATCGTTACTTCGCACATGTCTTGCGGCTTTCAATATTGGGTTGACGCCATGCCTCAACTATATGTCTTGTGCCTAGGACACGTTATACTACACGGAGCAGACAACAGCTTTGTGTTTCAGAATATTGCAGCCGATAAGAATCGCAAGGCTAGAGCGGTAAACGTCGTTTCTGTATTAACCCGCGCCGGGCCGGTGCTCTGAAATTCCGCGCCGGGCCGCGGGGGTGTTTGAACACCCCCCCTTCTAACTCGGCTCCTGGGCCACGTAGCGACACGCGGTAAGCGGCAATCGAAAGAACGTCAAAAATAAGGACGAAAACACTTCGGTCATTTTTTGGGTCAGGTCAAAGGTCAGGTCACCAGAGGTCACCAAAGGTAAAATGTTGACTATTTCAACATTTTGGAAACTGCCAACGGCTATCTCGGGAACCGATAGAGCTACAGCGCCGCAAAAAAACGCATTCGATAGCCCTTTTACAGACCTTTCTGGGTAATGTTCTCAGATTTGACCTCAGGTCAACGGTTTAGCCTCCAGAGGGCAAAAACTCCAAAAATAGCCGTTTTTACGAAAAACGTTTTTTCGGCAATAACTTTTGACTCAAAAGAGCTATGACATTACTTTTGCCAGCATCGTGTTCCTCTCGTCGAGACGCGTCGAATGAACTATAATTTGACCTTGAAAGGTCAACTTGAAAATTTGACCTCAGGTCAAGGTCATGACCCGACCGGAAAAGGTCATGTTGCATATCAGTCGATCCGCAACGTCGAGCCGAACACAGCTAAGGCGTTTTCAGCGCTCTAGCACGCCTCTATCAGAAGTTATCATCGAAAAACTGTTAGATTCTGTTCGTGACCTGAGATGACCTCGGGGACATAACGAGGGGTCACAGTTGCCATTTTCTGGTTCAGTGTGTCTATTTTACCTACATCTCGATGTTTGAGAGTGTCTAGAATAGCGTTCGTGCAAAACAGGCGTTTTTCAACTTTCTCCCATTGACTTATAATGGAGAGGCCGCAAAATTGACCTGACCTTAGGTCACCGATATCAAAATTCCGAGATATACATTTTATAGATAGTGTTTCTCTTATCAATCGCTGAAAGTTTCAAGGCAATCGTTCAGTCGGTGTAGCTATGACGAGCATTCTTATTTTTTCTGAGGTGAGGTCACTTGGCGTGACCTGGTGACCTGACCTAAGGTGACCTGGGTCTGAAATTTTCACAACATGTGCGGAAAAGATGCACGAACAGGTGTGCCAAAAACGGCGGCGCTCCGCGCCGCCGTTTTTGAGATATCTGCGAAAAACCGCAAGGGGGGGGGTGTTCAAACACCCCCCCGGCCCGGCGCGGGTTAAAATACAGGCAATATAAGAGACGTCGATCGGATATAACAATCAAAGACATGTAGGTTTGTAACAAACCGTGCAAGGAAAATAATTACCAGCATTCGCCTGCACGAAATCCCATTTGGCATGATCATGGTAACCAAATAATCCTCCCTCGAAACGGCAGCTGAGCGAGAAATGATGGCATCATTAGTCGATCCAGTGCCATTGGAAAGGACGCAAGTAAACGTGCGCCACACTAATTTGACGTCCGTTACACCGGTGCGCCAATGTCGCCATCAAACACTGCGCTGCCAACAGCAAACAGCGAGCGCCACATAGCAAACGGCCGCGACCCGCCGGTCGAGTTTGTAGCGGGCCGCGCGGGGCCGTTCTGTTGGTTCTACAGACATTAAGTCGCCTGTGTTATTACTAACGAGTGACGACCATTCAGAAATGTAGTTGGCTCTGTTGATACTGGTGGCTATTCAGATGTTGTAGGCGTTTTTCACGGTAGGCACGTTCCTCGCACGGCGAAACGCTCGGGTCGGGCGCGACAGACCGTGTCGGTTTGGCCCCACACGGAAACACTGTTGCTATCAACACAGGGACGGTCAAAAGCGTTCGGCGTCGGCTTATACTTATTGGGACCGTCTTATCGCTTCTTCGGCGTCATCCACTTCGGTCTAGCCGCCTAAAATGTCTCTCTCGAAGGAGTTCGGCTACCGGAGTCGACAGTTTTTCAGTAGATCAGACAACTCCGGCTTTGAAAAATTGATTTCCACTCCGGCATCGATCATGGCCATTTCTTTTGAAGCGCTATCAAAGCAACTCACGTCTGTCAGTGTGCGATGATGTTGTGTAAGGAAGCGTGTACATAAGATTGGGAAGCGCAAGGCTAAGCTCGTCTGATCCACCCACGACTAGCTGCAGCTCCGAGCTGGCCGCCATGACTCTGAAACATTGTCAACTTTCCGGCAAACAAACAAAGATCACGACCTTTGTAAATCAAAGCATCAATAACACATACAATTATATACAATAGCTGTTTTCAAGACGGCTATCTGGTACGCATTTGCTGCACATTGGACGCATATTTGGTCAAATTAGGTTTATAGTTATTTTCAGTAGGTTTTTAGCTTAGAAGCAACTGTAATTCATTTGAATGATTTATCAAGTAATAAGACGCTAATTTTCATTAACACTTTCCATGTTCACGTTAGTTTCCAGATGTCTCTACTGTACTACGCCTGAATTGAATGAAATATGTGCGGCTTGGCAGCTCGGTAGGTATTATAATACCTACCGAGCTGCCAAGCCGCACATATAAACCGTTTAGCGTAAAAGCCGTTTAGCGTAAAAGCCGTTTTCACGGCTGTAGCCGTGAAAACGGCTCACGACGGGCTATCCGGCGAGTGCACCTAATTTGACCAGATCTGCACCTAATGTCTTTTACAGCAAATATCTTCATTTTATGAATTTATTTCAGTGTTTTAATCGATGATGCTCTCTGATAATACGACAGGGCAGGCATATAAGCAATTAGTGTAACCCTAGCTGATAGCTACTAAGAGACACACTGAACCTGATTTGACCAAGTCTACACCTGATCTGCACCAGATGTGCACCAAATGTGTACCAGATGGCCGTCGTGAAAACGACTATCATTTGTGATTACGGTCGTATTGCAGTTTGTATATTTTTCAATGGATATTTTCATTGTATTACTTTATTCTAAAATCTAAGGCGTTATTGAAAATTAACGTGTGATAATTTGATAATCATTCAAATAATCAACGATTGCCGGCTTAGCTGGAAATACAGTGCTGATGCACTGCGCCGTTCACACAAGGAGAGGCAGTTTGGGCAGTCGCAGAATATGGTAGGCTGAGAAACATAACTGCGGTCCGCCGCAGGTATGGGTACCATTTTAAGAAAAAGCATAACGTACCATTACGGAATTACGGCGCAACCCTCCCACTACACTTCTGGAACTGCAAAACCCCGTGGATGCAGTTGCTCGTGGGCTGAAGCCAGAGGACGTCACGCAGGCGGTTCGGCATGTCTGCAGGAGGGCCGAAATCTGCCTCAGCAGAAACGGCGCCAGTGCCGAAAACTGACAGCATGCAAGTGTCTGAAGCCATCACGACAGAAAAAGCCATTCTTTCGCCAATACAATGGTAAATCGCTCTATGCGTTATGAATACAATTGCTTAGATTTTGAGCTTATTTAAAATGAACATTCACTATGGAACACCCTGTAGGTATACAAGCTAAAAACAACTGTGAACCTAATTTGTCCAAATATGCACCAAATGTGCATCAAATGAGTACCAGATAACCGTCGTGAAAACGGCTAATAACATTCGTTTATTCGCTTTCTATATGATCCAAGAAGTGTCGACTCTGACTCCAACTCCAATTCTAAAGCAGTAACTAGTCCTGCTTTCAACCACAAATAAAAATGCACGAAAAACACGATGACCCTGATGCCGACGAGGAAGCCCTTTCAATAGAATTACTGATGCAGAGACCACAACGGTCAATACCGTTACATTGTAACAATAACCCAATACCCAACAAGTAACTGGAGCTGACGGTAGTAAATGGAGGTCGTAATTACTGATCGACATACCTTTACTCCGCGCAAAACAGCAAACACCGAACTGCAAATGGTGTCGCTCCCACTGAGGAAACGGACTAATTACTTACACGGAAGTGCTATATTGATTAATGACTATAATGTCCGCTGGCAGACGGCTGATCTATATGGTATACCGAATAGAAAAATGGCTCAGCACGTGCATGACCAGCACAGTTTATCGATACAAAAGTAAGACAGAGTGGCCACGACAATTAGCTACTATTCAGTAGAAGCAAATGACACATATTTGTAAAGGCATTTTTGGTGTTGTGAAGCTAACAAAAACTCCGTTAGCCCTAGACTCAGAACACTGAGATATGCTTTCTTTCTTAACCCTCACCGACACAGGCCATTTTGCGTCCTTCGACGGCACAATGGGAGGGGGGGGGGGTACGACCCCCCTCGCGTTTGGCCCCTGATCGAGCTAGAGCTTCGTGGAAAAAAACGAACGTGTTGCCCGTCACGAGAGGAAGCCGATGATATTCAATTTTAAGGTCCTAGGTCATCGGGTGACTTTTCAGGTAAGGTCAATGACCCGAAAATCGGGAAAATCGGGACCTGTTAGAAAGTCGTAAAGTGTGGCTGCTATGGGGTTTTCCGGGGTGCTGATCGCGAATATCGGGTAAGTTTTGATCAGAGATGATGTCTTTAAGCCTTTTGCTTTTGCGCCAATCCTCTATTGTTTTGTTCGTTGTTCTTGTTTACATATGATAAAATACAATGAACTGAACTGAACTGAACATGTTCCATGATAGGTGGGAGGTAAGACTGGCAAAAAAGGCCGAAATCAAGGTGTCAAAAGCTCACAAGGCCCATAGCCAGCGCAAGATGTTGAGAATTGGCCATTTGGGTCATGACATGACCTGAAAAACAAGGTCATATCTCCGAAACCAAAAATCACAGAAACTTGAAATTTTCAGTGGACATCAAGAAAGGATAAAGGAGCAGCTATACGAAAAATCAGCCTTCTAGTTCTAAAAATGTTGAGTGCAGAGCAGAAAGACTACCTGGGGGGGGTGGCAACCACCCCCCCCCCCCATGTATGGGCGAGGGTTAACCCGGCCGGGCCCGGGGGGTAATCCCAACCACCGCAGCCCGGGGGGCGTTTTTCGCCCCCCCCCCCCCCCCTGTCTAACT